AGTGCAGCTGAAGTTGCGAAAGCAAGCGTTTGTCATCGTCGTCTTCCTCCATCCCTACTCAAGAAGCGCATGCCACACCTACAAGTCTGGAGCCTGCGTGCAGGTGTAACAAACTGCATTCAAGCAATGCCGAAACTACCTCAGTCCGTGACAGCCGCCACCACCCCCACCACCACAAACACCCCCAACACCAACAACGACCGGCAACAAAGACAAGAACAAAACAACAGCAACAACAAAAACAGGCAACACAACAACAACCAACCGACAACAAAAAACCAACAACCAACCAACCAACCAACCAACCAACCAACCAACCAATCAACCAACCAACCAACCAACCAACCAACCAACCACCACCACCACCACCAGCACCAGCAGCAGCAGCAGCAGCAGCAGCAGCAGCCGCAGCAGCAGCAGCCGCAGCAGCAGCAGCAGCAGCAGCACCACCACCACCACCAACAACAACAACAACAAGAACAACAGCAACAGCAACAGCAACAGCAACAACAACAACAACAACAGCAGCAACAGCAACAGCGAGGAGGACCACAACAACAACGACAACAACAACAACAAGAAGGACAACAGCAACAACAACAGCAACAGCAGCAACAGCAGCAGCAGCAGCAGCAGCACAGCAACAGCAACAGCGACAATAACAAGAACAATAACAAGAAGAATAATAAGAACAAGGGCAAGAACAACAACGACAACAACCACGACGACGATGACGAGGATGATGGTGATGATGATGAGGAGGATGATGATGATGATGACGCCAGAGCGAAAGAGACAAAATCATGATGTACATGTAGGAAGAAAAGCATGAAAAGGCTACGCATACAAACCAAAGCATAGCAACAGGCATCAGCCCAAGAGCGAGAACAATGCCTATGATACCGCTGCCACTACTGTGGAGAAGAACCATGGTGATAACTGTGATGATAACGAGATGGATTGTCCAGTCATGCTGCTGAAGATAGCGGCCAATGCCCAGAATGAGATTACACTTGATTATAGATTACGCTTGGTTATAGCAGAAAGATGTTTGATTCCGCTGCTGCTGATGATGCTGATGATGATGAGATGGCACATTACATGTATGCTCAATAATAATGATTCTTGCTAGCACGCATAGAAGTCAATGGTTGCTTTTCACCCGTGTTCTGTTTTTTGTAGAACTCGATTTGAGCGGCTACTTCACTGTTACTTCCTTGCATCCTTGCAGGATGTGTCCTGCCCACCTTTTTGATCTCCTGCCCAGCCCACCCTTTTCCGACCCTGAAACAACAGAAAACAATGCCCCATATCCTGGAACTTAAGCTAACGAGTCAGGTCCCCTAAGCAACGGCATGCGGCTTTGGGACAACCTGACTGCAACAGACCGGAAGCCTCACAGTACACCTGGCACCGGCTTCAACCTCACTCAAGTGCAAGTCACGACTGCTGTGTCGAACCTCAGCTCACGGTAGCTCACAGTTGTGAGCACCGCTGCCGAACTGCTAAACATCACGGACCCAATTCGGCAAACATCAATGACTGTCAGGAAACTCAATGTCGTTCGTCTGGAAGTCTTATTACCATACAAGGAGAACAAAGCCTGAGTTGTTCCAGAGGCTAGCATATGCTGTATGCTCATGAACTAACCTTCAAGGTCAAACAGCGTGCTGTACGCCAGAAATCGTCAACAAACAAAACAAAAAACGTTCGTCGGCCTCACGGTGGCTGCGGATGCTTGGGGTGCCGGGATCACCGGCCTAAGGAGCGAAGACGTGCTGCTTCTGAAGTTGCCATTGACCCCTTCCTGAACGTTTTTTCAGAGACTCTCATCACGGCGCTGGGCGCTAGAACCTTAGTGCTGGTTCACTTCCGGCTTCTCCACGGAGAACGGATCTGGACACCATAATTGTTGTACTCACAGGACTTTGGACAGACAGCTTTGGACTCTCTCAAAGTGGAAGCAAACTCTGCAAGTCTGCAGAGTGAAATTCTTGATTGAACCATTCAAACGGCGCGGAAGAACAGCAATTAGAATGAACGTTAATACGAGGTTTGCGTAATGGTAGCAAGCGATGGAAGAAGAAGCCCCAGGTCACGAGGCGTTTGGTATCGACGTCCGACTAGCATCACAAGAGCAAGATATCGATTGATGCTGGGTGAGGAGCTAAGGAGTCTGTCGATTGGATAAGCGCAAAGCGCCAGCAGCTTGATTGCTTGCTGGCGCTTAACTATTGAAGGTGGTGCGGCAAAGGATTGGCCTGCTCATGGAGCCGCAGCAACTAGGAAAACCTCATCCTAATGACTCCCATATGTCATGATCAGAAGCGGATTCGGGTTTAGATGCAGCTCTTCAAGAGCATTGTCACTGGTTGAGAGGACTCAAAGTTGGTTGAAACGCTAGGGCCGCTTACCGTAACCCACAGCGATTACACGACCTTACAGATAGCAAATCATCTTGCTGAAGCCAGGGCCGGCCCTGAGGCAGGGGCTGTTGCGAATGGGGCTGCGGTGAAGCTTGCGGGGAAGGCTGCTGAGGGTTCGCAGCCGCCTGAACGTAAGCGTCTCAAGGACGCCACTTCAGTGAACATCGCGATAGCACAATCACATCATGTAACATATCACGGAATCAAACAAGACCCGTCATGACTACGTACTGCAATGTCAAGGTCAAGGAGGGGACCTGACACTCTTAAATCCGGGTTCTCCGTCACAACACCCTCGTAATCGGGCCGAAGTTCGCACCCCTGAGCCCGCAAGCCTGGACCCTACCCGAAAACCTATACGAGTGCCTGCTGAGGCTTAGCCCCGCCGCAGCCCATACCCGGAGAAAGGCCAGCGGCCCCTTTCAGAGATTGAGATCTAGGGCTGTGCGTCTCTTGACGGGTCGAGGAATCCAAGTATCCTGGTCTTGCAGGCGTACAGCTTGCAAAAGGAAGTGCTGGGGTTGTAGGCTTCTCGCTGGCGATCTAGCTTCAGTCTAGCGTCTGGTCCTCATTTTGCTGGGGGCCGGCTCGCTTGATCTGCTTTCAGCAACGCAAACTGTTGTGAATAAGCTTACTGCCTGCTCTCCCAGCGCAAATCAGCAACTTCCGCACAACCCAAAGCAGACCACAAACCTGGGAGACGCTGCCTTCTTCACAGGTCCCCACGTCTCGGTGTCCAAGGAGGCTACGGCTTTCCGAGCCCCAAGGCTGCCGCGCAAAGACGCAAAGCTTGCACTTACGGTTCGACCCCATGTCAGCTCCATGAGCTCAGACTTTTGCAACAACTACTACTAGCCTGCACGAGTATGGCACTATGACAGATGTTCCTACAGTAGGATGACGGATCCTTGTGAGAAAAGGAGTGACTGCAAGGACCTCGAGTTCTTGAGTTCACAATCGTTTCTGACCGCTGCACGTTTCTTCACTACAAACGTGTATCAGTGTGTAACCTATAGTCTCCAAGCCTCGCAGAACCGATGAAGGCCAACCCTATTTCCCGTGATCTCTGCGTTCTGAAAGCATACTTGGCCAGTAGCTTGCCCTAGCTTGCCAGCTCTACAGCAGATGGAGTTCGCTTTGTGACGCAACCGCCTTGAACAAGAGCTCACCTGTTCCCATTGTGAGCAAGACTTTGCAGACGTGTCACTGCCAGAAATCTGCCAGATAAACAACAAACGCGTCTGTATCCATACAATAACCATTGCTGGCCAACATCCCCGCATGCACCACACCAGATGTGTGCTAGCAACCTGTTTGTGCATTATAAGCCTGGCACGGCTTGTGCAGTACATCGAGTTGGAAATGACTGACATGCATGATCACGGAAGAGCCCTATTTACATGAGTACAAGGGCAGTGCAGATAACGAGCTACGTCAATTTCCCATGTACTTCGAATACTAGGGTTTGCTGTGCAGGGAAATGTGGCACGAAACCTAGGTTTTTGTGCTGTTTTAGGAAAAGCATGGTAGTTGGACATCCAGCAAACGATTGCATTAAGGAGAAGATTTCACTCTTTGTTACATTGTGTTTCGGTTTCTGAGATTGGGTTTGTTCCCCCCCACGCCCCCCCCCCGGCCCAGCCAACAGCTGAACAAAGCCTTCAAAAGGCTTAAACACCTGACAAAACTCAGGGCGACCGATGCGCCCGCCGCCAACGAGAAAGGGTTCAGAATGGGCCCTCGGTGACATTGAGTCCCGATCATTCGTCTCTTGCCTTCTGTGTCTTTCACTGCCAGAACTGCATACTTACGCCCAAGTTTGTGGCAACAATTCTTGTTGCAATCTTGGTCTATGGTTAATTGCGCGCATCAAGTCCAAAGGTAGAAAGCGCATCTCATGCAGGAGCTCTTCACATTACTTTAGTTCCTTGTGATTCCTTGCCTGCTTCTTCTCTGCGCGCTGTACAGTCAAACTCACTGCATAGACCACATGCTTACA